TGGGTGTGTCCCAGGTGTGCCCCAGGTGTGTCCCACCCCCCAGGTGTGTCCCAGGTGTGTCCCAGGTGTGCCCCAGGTGTGTCCCACCCCCCAGGTGTGTCCCAGGTGTGTCCCAGGTGTGTCCCAGGTGTGTTTCCATCCCCCCAGGTGTATCCCACGTGTGTCCCAGGTGTGTTTCCCCCCTCCCCAGGTGTACCTGAGGTGCGCCTGGATCTCGATCTCCCTCCGCAGCTGGTGCTCCACCCCCACAGGTGTGTCCTGGGTGTGTCCCAGGTGTGTTTCCATTCCCCCAGGTGTGTCCCAGATGTATCCCAGGTGTGTCCCAGGTGTGTCCTGGGTGTGTCCCGGGTGTGTCCCCCCTCCCCAGGTGTGTCCCAGGTGTGTCCCACCCCCCAGGTGTGTCCCAGGTGTACCTGAGGTGCGCCTGGATCTCGATCTCCCTCCGCAGCTGGTGCTCCACCCCCTCCTGCTCCACCTGGGACTTGAAGAGCACCTTGAGGGCCACCAGGAAGCCGGAGCGCCGCTCCCGCGCCAGGTACACGTTGCCGAACTTGCCCTTGCCCAGGGGCCGGCCCACCTCGAAGTCCTCCAGCGAGAACACGCGCCTGCGGGCACACCTGGGTCACCTGAGAGAACCTGGGGGCACCTGGGGACACCTGAGAGAACCTGGTCACACCTGGGCACACCTGGGGGCACCTGGGCACACCTGGGGGCACCTGGGGGCACCTGGGGGCACCTGAGAGAACCTGGGGAATGTCCCTCCCTGCCTCGAAGTCCTCCAGCGAGAACACGCGCCTGCGGGCACACCTGGTCACACCTGGGGGCACCTGGGGCATCTGGGGGCACCTCAGAGAACCTGGGCACACCTGGGGCACCTGGGGGCACCTGGGGGCATCTGGGGGCACCTGAGAGAACCTGGGCACACCTGGGGGCACCTGGGGGCACCTGGGGGCACCTGAGAGAATCTGGGGACACCTGAGAGAACCTGGGGCATGTCCCTCCCTGCCTCGAAATCCTCCAGCGAGAACACGCGCCTGCGGGCACACCTGGGCACACCTGGGTCACACCTGGGCACACCTGGGGGCATCTGGGGACACCTGAGAGAACCTGGGGACACCTGGGTCACCTGGGGCATGTCCCTCCCTGCCTTGAAATCCTCCAGCGAGAACACGCGCCTGCAGGCACACCTTGGTCACCTGGGGACACCTGGTCACACCTGTGGGCACACCTGGGGGCACCTGGTCACACCTGGGGGCACCAGGGCACACCTGGTCACACCTGGGGCACCTGGGGGCACCTGGGGCACAGCTAGGGTAACACCTGGCACAGCTGGGGACACCTGGGGTAACACCTGAGAGCATCTGGGGACACCTGAGGTCACCTGGGCACACCTGGGTGACACCAGGCCGGGGGGCACCTGGGCACACCTCCCCACCCCCCATCGTTCCCAGGGCCTTTTGGGCCCCCCAGGACCCCCCCAAACTCCACCCAGATCCCCCCAATTTCCCCCCAAATCCCCTCCCCCGTACCTGGCAGAGCCTTCCCGGGGGGCTCCGAGCCCTGGGGGTCCTTGCAGGGCACCCGCAGGGGGGGAGGGACCAAACTCTGGGGGGGACACGGGCAGGGGTCACCCCAAAAGCCCCCAAGGGCTGGGGGGACCCCCAAATTGGGGAGGGGGGCGTCACCTTGGTCAGGCTGGGGGCCACGTTCTCCTTCTGTGCCATCCTGGGGGGGCACAAAGGGTCAGGGGGTCCCCAGAATCCATCGGGGACCCCCAAAATTCATAAAGGAACACCAAAATCCATCAGGGACCCCTCGCAGGACCCCCCAAATCCTCTCAGAACCCCCCAATTCCCTCAGAATCCCCCCCAGAACCCCCCAATTCCCCTCAGAATTCCCTCAATATCCCCTCAGGACCCCCCAGTTCCCCTCTGAAACCTCCTCAGGACCCCCCAAATCACCTCAGAACCCCCACAATTCTCTCAAACCCCCCCCCAGAGCCCCCCAAATGCTCTCAGAACCCCCCAATTGCCCTCAGGACGCCCCAGTTCCCTCAGAAACCCCTTCAGAACCCCCCAATTCCCTCAATATCTCCTCAGGACCCCCCAATTCCCCTCTGCAAAATACCCCAAAACCACCGA